GTAGTAGTAGTAGTAGTAGTAGTGTAGTAGTAGTAATTAGTAATACTAGTGATACTAGTATGGTAATAGTAGTAGTTGTAGTAGTAGTAGTAGTAGTAGTAGTAGTAGTAGTAGTAGTAGTAGTAGTAGTAGTAGTCGTAGTCGTAGTCGTAATCGTAGTCGTAGTCGTAGTCGTAGTCGTAGTCGTAGTCGTAGTAATAATACCTATACTAGGACCAGTGGCACTAGACGTGGTATTAGGAGTAGTGGTCGTAATCGTAGTCGTAACCACGGTCGTAGTCGTATTAGTAAAAATAGTAGTAGCAGCAGGAGTAGTAGTAGTAACAGCAGGAGTCGTAGTAGTAGTAGTAGTCGTAGTAGTAGTAGTAGTAGTAGAGTAGTAGTAGTAGTAGCAGTAGTAGAAGCGTAGTAGTAGTAGTAGTAGTAGTAGTAGTAGTAGTAGTAGTAGTAGTAGTTGTTGTTGTAGTAGTAGTAGTTGTAGTAGTAGTAGTAGTAGTAGTAGTAGTAGTAGTAGGAGGAGGAGGAGGAGGAGGAGGAGGAGGAGGAGGAGGAGTAGTAGTATCAGTTGTAGTAGTAGTAGCAGCAGGAGTGGTAGACGCCAGTAGGCCGACGGACGAGGCAACCAGCCAACCAGCCGAGCGCCGCCAACCAGCCAGCCACGCATCTCCTGCAAGGGTTCTGGGGGCAGACGCAATGTTTCCGATGGGGCCCCGTCTGCGGGGCGGCGGGGCTGGCGAAGCCAACATATGATGACCTCCCGTTCGCCCCTCCTCCTCGTCGTCGTCGTCCTGGTCCGTGTCCTCCTCGTTCTCGTCCACGTCCTCGTCCTTCTCCTCTCTTTCTCCTCCTTCCACTCCGACGCCCCCCCCCCCTCCTCCCCTCGAGCCCCTCCCCCGCCCCCTCTTCGAAGAAAAGTCCGCCGCCCCATTGCCCCCCCCCCTCTCCCGTCCTCGTTTTCCTCTCTTCCTCCTCTCTTCCTCCTCCTCAGAGACGATCGAAACTTTCAAAGCTTCTCAAAGAGTTACCGGGGAATGTCCGATTTTCCCGGGGTAGGTCCGATTTTACCAGGAAAATGTTTCTCCTCTGAAGGGAATTCGGAGGAAGAAGGGAACGGGACACGCTAGGAAGACGAGTTCGGCGAGGACCAGGGAAAGAAACGAGGAGGGATAATGCGGGCAGGGTGAAGGGCAAGAAGAGGAGGAGCAGGACGAGGGAGAACACAGGAGGATTGCTTTGGCTTGCAACTGGCGCGCGCGCGCACGGATGCCACGGGGCCCATCCGACACCCCGGAGAAATTTTCACTTTCAAAGTTCGACGCCCTTGAATTCGCCCCACACTCCGTCGCCCAAAAAACGCGAGTGGCGAGATACTTCTGGCAGACTTGCCGGATATAGTTTTTCGATGCCCCGGAGGCAAGGGATACTGTCCCCGAACCTTTGCGCACCGATACTCGTAATTACACTGCTTAATTTTTCTTGTGTTCACAGTCCCTAGCCCCGAGCAAGCATCGCAAGGCTGGCTGAACTTACCACCTAGATGCTCGAGCACATCCGACACGTGAGCTTTACCCAGCGTTGCGCCGCCTCCTCTGCGTTATTGGAAGCATCCGGCATGTGCTCCAGATTCGTCGGGCAGAACGTCTTGGCTCACGCCAGGCAGCACCGCCCAATGCAAGGGTGGCACAGCGGACCCAGGATCGCTGCCTGGACAGGTGAATCGCACAAGGGCATGCCGTATTTCGAGGTGGATACCGTGCCCCTGACAGACCCAACGAGCACCTTTCACAAGGAGGATGGTGCGAAGCGGTCGGCGAAGTTGCTGCGGACCGAACTCTATGGTCAATCTGGTGGGCGCTGCGGCCATAGTTATGATGGATTGACCTTGAACGAGATCTGTGACCTCGACAGGGTAAGGAACGCAGTGAAGCTCGGCGACGAGAAGCATTACATCTCGAGGTCTGGGCGCCAAGTTCGTGTCGTTGTCTCGAGTAGAAGTTGGCAGGACAGAAAAGGATCGAATGTTGCGTGGCGCAGCCAACGGGGGCCAGCGGGAAGCTGCACTTCCAGCTGGAACAAGAAATCGTAGAGCAGGACAAACAGTTGGTCGACCAGCAGGTAGGGTACGCCATGACCGAGGGCACCTACATGGTTGTCTTCGGTCTCGGTGATGCCCAGTCGTGGGACATCCTACCCAGCAGCGGCGCGCGCACTGCTTGGAATACTTTAGCAAGCCGGGCTGCTGCGGTCGCCAACAGCCGCGCGCTTGCATTGGGAGGGCGTGGGATATTGCCACGCGTCGCTGTTGCCATCTGGAGACCGCAGTGTGTCTTTCAAGGGGCCTCGTAGGCCAGCAGTATTGGTATGTCCCGGGCCACCTCTGACTTGGCGGTGGCGTGGTCGTAGACCGAGATTCTGCCCCTGTCGCACGTGACGCGCAGTCTTTGGGCACGGTGATGGCGCCCCCCATCCGTTGCCTGTCGTTCCACCATTCGCTCATAGTTCCAGTCCGCGACGACGATCCACGGGTCGAGGAGCATGTCCAGGGAGGTGGTGGTGGATATTAGGAGGTCACGATGGGCCCCATTGAGCCCGGAGGCCCCGTCTGAGGTTCGCGGACATGACTTCTCTGTTGCATTGGGCCCTGCGGGGGGTGGGAAGCGAGAAGCCCACAAAGGGCCGCTTGCTAGACGAGGTAGAAGTCACGGTGGACCTCGAACGGCGCGCTTGCCACGCCGCGCTTGGCGAACACCCATTTGCCGCCATGGGCGCCCTCCTCTCTCGGACCCGTTTGTCGCGATCGCGGGCGTGGCCGCGAGCTTCCAGCCGTCCGCCGCCAAGCCGATCTTGTGCCCCTAGATGTCGACCGCCGCCACGTGGGCCTCCGCCATCGCGATCGCGCGGCAGTCGATGCTCCTGCTGCGCACAAATCCCGCCACTTGCGGGCCCCATTCGGTGATGTTGCCGACGAAGATCTGGGCCTGCTGGTTGACCTGCAGTTTCTTGCTGCGAAAGACGCCGCCCACTATCGCCAGCGCCGTCTGGAGGGGCATCAGGAGCAGCCTTGCCCCCTCCCTGCAGCCTTCGCCTCGCGGGCTTTATCGAGGGCCCATGTGGCTGCCTTGACAACTTCGTCCGTTGCCTTCTTGTTATCCTCTGTTGGTTCGTCGCCGCTTGCACCGTTTGATGGAGTAGCGCCACCGTTCGGAGGACTGGGCGTCGCTGGTGCTCTTGCCCCTTGTCCGCATACTCCTGCAAGCTGGGGGACAGACTGCGCTGGTTGTTCGGCAGCAGCTGCTTCGGGGTGGTCCGTGTTCTTGCGCTTGGTTGGGTTGGCTGCCGACTCCTTCGCCTTCTGACGTACCCTTGGATCTCGTTGAGCGCCTTGACGCTGACCACCAGGTCTTTTTTCCACTCCTCTTTTTGCCCGCGGGTGTCGTCGTCGTAGGTGTGGAGGTCGTTCCAGTTTCTGTCGTCGGCGGAAAAGGAGTCGGTGGGGGCAGTCGCCGCTTTTGCTTGCTGGTGCCCTCTTGCGGCGCCCAGCTCAACTCTGTGTGCTTCTTCGGCCTTGGCGTGCGCTGCTTGTGCGCGCACCAACTCAAGGGCTGCCTTATCTTATCCTGGGCCTGGGGCTCGCCGTCGAGCCACTTAGCGTTTGTGACCTCCTCGACCGCTCTGTGTCCATTCGCGCCTGATTGCCCAGGACCGCGAGCGCCGACTGCAGCGCTTGCTGCTCGGTCTTGATGGTGGGGGCTGGCTGAGGGCAGGCTGCGGCCTGGATCTGCCCGATGGGCTCGGCTTGGTTGCCCGTGATGTGTTTGGACACGGCCTCGAGGAGGACCTGCGGTGTGGTGGCGCGCTGGTCGGTCTGGTTTTGGCGTTCCGCTGCCCACGGAGTTGTGGCTCCTCCCCCCCAGGTTCCACCAGGGTTTTTGTGCTCACCAGGCGACGGCGCAAGCGCCTTCCCACATGCAAAGCAGTTCGCTTTGCCACGCCATGCCCACCGATGGTGACACTGCTTGCAGATGACGAACTTCTTGGGGTTTGCTTTGGAAGTACCTGCCCAGCCACCATTGGATGTACCACGCTGCCTGTCGCCACCCATGTGTCGAAAGAGAGACCTCGCACGTTGATGCAAGGTGCTTCGTCTGGAGCAGACCGGACGGTATACAGTGCACACGTTGGTGCACGGGGCGCTTTTATGGGCGAGCGCAGAGGGAAAGATATGGAAAGCTACCTCGGATCAGAGGTTTGCTCGTTGTCCACTGGGGAGGGAATCATCTTAAGCCGTATCAGCTACGGAGGAGGAGGAGGAGGAGGAGGAGGGAGGAGGAGGGAGGAGGAGGCGGGAGGAAGAGGAAGGGAACGAGGGAGTCTTTGTTGTGAGGGGGAGGGGGTGCAGAAAGAGCATGCCGAAGAGCAGGAGGAGGAGGAGCAGGATGAAGATGAAGGATGAGGGATGAGGGACGGTGGCAAGGGAGGGCTGAGGAAGGGGAGGAGGAGGGTAGGAGGAGGAGGATAGGAGGTTGAGGAGGAGGAGGAGGAGGAGGAGGAGGAGGAGGAGGAGGAGGATAATAATAATTACGGAATGAACTCGGGATGTCGGGGATGAGCAGAAGAAGGTGAAGGAGAGTTCGGGAGGAATGAGGCGGACGGGGGCTTGTGCAAACCCAGCCCAGGCCACCGGTATGCGGCGACTCACCCTCGCGCCCCAAGGTCCCCATCCTCAGAAGTCGATGCCAGCACTTCTACTAGCACTGTGGTCCTTAGTTGTGCGGAAGTATCGGGCGAGGCGCCTGGGCCTCCTTGCCGACGCGCTTGGTGGAGCACCGGTGAAGCGTCAGTACCATGAGGAGGGATGGAGGAGGAGGGGGAGGAGGAGGAGGAGGAGGAGGAGGAGGAGGAGGAGGAGGAGGAGGTAGAGGATTCTGTAGGAGGAGGAGGGTTAGCAGGAGCATGAGGAGGAGCAGCACCAGCAGGTGAGAGAGAGGGCGGCCTCTCAGGCTGTCCAGGCCAGCGCGGGGGGCATCGTGACACTCAAGTCGGCCCTGAAGCACTCGTTCCCGGCGGGCACCAGCGTCGCCGAGTTCACCCAGGCATGTCGCGGGCCACGAAGATCGAAGAAAAACAAACTGCACAAACATAAATTTTCGACGTTCCTCACGGGTTTCTTGGATCCGCGCTGGGACCCTCTGGCGGCGCCTCCGGCGCCGCCTCTGGCGCGCTCCGCGCGCCAGGGAGAGGGGGGCCAGCGCAGATACAAGAAATCCGCGTGGACATGCAAAAGTGTATGTTTATGCTGTACGAGGCGGGTGAGGATTCCGGGAGGGCGGCACAGTGGCAGGCGCCATGAAGTCTCCCTGTGTCCACTGCCTTCCCTTCTGCTTCTTCTTCTTCTTCTTCTTCTTCTTCCTTCTTTCACCGCGCTCCCTGCCCTGCCCCCTTCGTCCGCGCACGAGCCTTGGGCGATGATGCGCCAGCCCCCCCCCTCTTCCTGTCTCCCCCCGCAGGCCCAGTTCGGGCCGCAGGGCCGTCAACAAGACAGCACGTGGCGGGGATCTGACTTTGGGGACGGACACGGTCAGGAACGTTTGCTCAGTGCGCCGCGCCGCCAGGTCAGGCCCACCGCGCTTCGGCACGACGGTCCCCGAGCATCAGCGGTACGAGCCTTTCTGGCCTCCCGCCCCACGGAGCGCAGCGACACGCTATCCGATCGCAGGGCATAGCGTGCCGCTGGGACCGCCGCCGTCGCGACGCGCTAAAGTGGAAATCGATGGTAAGGATAGGTAACCGTCCCAACGGTACCATTGCATCCTTGCCTCCTCGGTCCGTCCTAGCCCCTTTCGACGGCCAGCCCCGCGCGAAGAGCCTCGACGTGCGCGGCCAAGGGGCTTGCATCCTTATCGAGCATCCTTGCCATCGTTTTTGGCTGCAAGCAAACGCTCCTGACCGTAGCTCCAGGGGGGTTCATGTCGCGATCAGGTTGCGGCGTTGGAGGCTGTGGGAAGCCCCCCCGCGTCAAGACATCGCGACGCGCCTGCTCGGGGGTTGGCCCGTGGTGGGTGGGCCTCGTTTTCAGGTGCTGCCAGGGGTGGCCCCAGTCCGAGGTGACCCCAGCTCGGCATCGCTCGGAGGTGTACATGTTTTCTCGGCGAGGACCATCGAGGAGCGTCTGGAATCTCCTTGCAAAGCACGAGCGCACGAAACCGCAGAATGCACGTGGAATGGACGTCCGAGCAATGGCGAGCCGACTGTTCCAGGGAGGCCCAGGTGGCTTCCAGAGCACCCTTCGCGCTTTGCGGGGCCCATGGGGCTCCATGTGGTCCCGAAGTCGGGCGAAATGCTTGTCGCACTTTTGGGTCAGGATCGCCTTTGGAAACCTTCCCCCCGCTTGAGGCGAGTCTCTCTGACTGCAGCGCTGTTCCCTTCCTCTCTTATTTTCGTCCTCCTCCTCGTCCTGTTCGCATGCTGTTCCTCCTCCTCCTCCTCCTCCTCCTCTTCCTCCTCCTCCTCCTCTTCCTCCTCGTCTTCCATGGCCATTTTGGCTCAAGATGTCTGCTTTGCGCAAGCAGGGCATGGATACCGCTAGTCCGTGGCCAGTCCAAGCTTTCCAGCTACAACCACGGGTGAGCTGGCACCCCTCCATATCTCCCGTTCGCGGCTGCTCCAACCGAGCGGTCGACAGTCGCCCTGTGGGCCAAGGTTCGCTGGCATGGCAGCGGAGGGCGGTGGTGGTCGTGGTTCTGGGCGCGCTGGCGGCGGTCATCGCGGACCTGGTGCTGCTGCCCCTGCTGGACGCCAGCGCCGAGAGCAAGCCTCTTCTGCGTCAGGACGGTTTCTCTCGAGAAGTACGGAGGAGCGAAGCGCTCGTCCGCGACGCAGAGGAGCCAAGAAGGACGACGTGCTGGCGGTGTCTGGGGCCCGACGTGACGGCAAGCGAGACGCTCGCCTCCCCGCTGCCGACCATGACACGCTGGCCCGTCAGCAGGACATGGGCTCCGCGTTCGTCGTGCTGCCAGACTCCCTGGCTACTGCCGCCGCTCCCGCACCTGAGCGACCTCCTGCTGCTTCACCGCGACCTGCAGACGAACCCGACCCTTGGCAAGTACCTGGTGGTGGGCCCTGGCCAACTCGTACATCGGCTTCCGGTGTCGGTGCCCCTCCACCTGGCACGCCGGTGGGAGGATGTGCCACACCTACGGGGCTCTCGGGTGACTTCCAGGCCTTGCTGGGCAGTTGCATGCAGCAGGCCTCCGCGGCGTTGGCGGAGACGTCGCGCGTGCAGCTCGCCTCCTGTCAGGCCCAGCTGGTGGGGATGTTCCAGGCGCAGCAGGAACACGTCGCCAAGTCGCTCGCGGCTCACGCCCGCGACGTCGCCAAGGTCGGAGAGCGAGCGGACACCCTCGCCGAGGAGCAGCGACGTACTATGCGTGCCCAGATCAACGACATCGAGAAGACGCTCGCCATGGCAGAGAAGGAGATCCCGATCATCGGCTTCCAGGCGCTCGAGGCGCGGGCCAGGCCTCCTGATGCGAGGATATTCTCAGTGGGTGCTCCTGAAGTGGTCGGCCCCGCAAGTTCGAGCTGGTATCACTGACTGGCTCACGGCTGCTGGCCTCGACAACAGCATGGTCCGCCTCGACGCCAACGTCCCCAGCAAGCGCTTCAACGTCGTCGTGGAGGGCGGACTGGACATCGCCATACCTCGTGCACAAGCGTTGGATTGACACCTGCGAAGCCCTGCCGCCCCCAATGGATGGCGCTTTTTCCAGTGCCAAGCGGTGGGTGGTGGTGTCGTCCCGCTCTACGTTTCTCCTGACAAATCACCTTAGCAAGTTCGAGAGGAAATTTAAACACGGCGGCTCACCAACATTCTGGGCGAGGCGGTACTTGGCCGCGCCTTCAGTGCTCAGCGTGCACGTGGCATCATCACTTCCCAGGGCGTTAAGCTGGCCAAGCTTGAGATGGGTGAGCGACGGGAGTCAGACACCACCATCCGCTGGAACATGGACATGGTCTCGCGACAGGCCGTCGACAGGGGCGCGATCGCCGAGCAGTTCAAGAAGGCCTTCTCGCTCGAGGACCGCACCGAGTGGCGTTGGCCCTTCGCGCTGGTCGCCGTGGCGACCGTCGGCTTTGGAGGGTGGATCGCGCGGGCTGCACTTGGTGGCGTGGAACGCCAGGGGTCTGCTGCACTCGAACCCCCGCTTGCGTCGTCGCAAGCTGGCGCTCCTGGGCTTCCATCTGCGCGCGGGCGCCATGATTCTCGTCCAAGGAGTCCACGGCTCGGAGGACGCACTGAGGATCTTCTTCCTGCTGCAGCCGCAGCGCTACCTCTCATTTCTGTCGACAGGCCCCTCCCCTGGCGTCGGTGGCGTCGCCTTCTTGGCCCCGCAGTTGGCTACGGCAGCCCCGTCATGCGCGGCCTCTATCTTCTCCTTCGACATCGTGGTTCCTGGAAGGGTCGCCCTCCTCAGCGTCGTCGGCCCCTCGACGCAGCACAGCGTGGAGATCTTGAACGTGCACAACGTTGACCTCTCGGCTGGCGACTTCGCGGCGGTGGAGTTGGCCTGGAGGGATGCTCTCGCCTGGGCCGCGAACGACCACCTGAGGCGCATCTTCATCGGCGTGGGTGACTTCAACATCGCGGACCGACCTGCTGTCTCCCAACGGTCTCCTGTGGCAGAGGAGGCCTGGCGCTTGCGCCCTGATCAACGGTGCCATCTTCGCCAGCCTGCGCGGCGCCGTCTCTGTGGCGCGGCGCTGGAGATCGAGGCGCAGTGGCCCACCCACTACGACTAGACCAGCCATCAGCTCTCGGTGATTGACCGTATTTTCCTGGGGATTGACGCGCATGGGATGCTCTCCGTGTCCACGCGCCTCACGACCGCCTGCGATGCGATGGAGTTGCCGGAGCGCGGCCTCAGCGACCGCGCGCCCCTCGTCCTGCAGATCGAGATGGCTCGTCACGTCCCGCGCGAGGAGCAGGCGATCCCGTCGCACCTCTTCTTTCACCCGAAGTACCCCGAGACGTTCTCGCTGATGATGGCGAATAGCGATCTGGAGGCGGCGACTGTCGAGGACCGTTGGCGCGCCACCAAAACTTGCATGATGCTCGCTGCCCGTCGGGTTCGAGATGAGCAGCTTCGTACCAACTGCCCCCTGAAGGTCAAGGGCGGCAACGCCGAGACCTCGCACATGGGCTTCAAGACAGCGGCGCGGGCCCTCTGGCGCCAGGGCGCGCCCCTGGCGGCCCGCCTGCTGGCTTCGCGTCCCGCTCTGGCCTCCCACCTGTTGATTGACCACGGGACAGTGAGCGTGACGGACTCCGGGGCCTTTGGCGAGGCCTTCGACACGGTCGCGGCGAAGGTGCGCGCCCTGCGCAGGCAGGCGGCCGAGGCTGCCGCGCGGCGGTCCAACGACCGCGATAGCCCCGCCTGGCGTCGAGTGGAGCGCAGGTCGGCCAGACGCGCGCAGCTATGGGTTCCCTGGCGGCGGCGCGTGGTGCTCGCTGGTCTGCGACTCGACTCTGCCCCCTGCGCCTCCGACAATGCAGAGGCTGTTCCCCCGAAGGTGGTCAGCGACTCCGCGGGCATGACGGGCACTGTGGCCGAGTACTGGGGCAAGGTCTTCGAGCGCGCGCCGACCGAGGAGCAGAAGCCGCGGCTCAACCAGTTCCTCGACCGCTTTGCCCCGCAGCGCCCTGTGGTGGAGCTACCCCAGCCGTCGCTGCGCGCGCTGGAGCGCGCTGCTGCGCGGGCGCCGCCCAGCGCCCCTGGGCCTGACCAGCTGCCCTGCGCCGCGTGGCGGCGCAGTCCTGACGCCCTGCGTCACCTTCATGCCCTGATGGAACAGCTCTTCAACGAGGGCGTTGGGCCCCACGACCTCAACTAGTCGATCTTCCTCTGCGTGCCGAAGGGCACTGAGCTCGAGGACACCCCCTGACTCGTGCACCCGAACTGCCTCGACGGTCCGCACGCTCTCCCTCAAGAACGCCGACGCCAAGCTCATGGCCTCCTGCGCGGATCGCGCTCTCCAGTCCATCGCCTCCGCTGCGACCGATGCGGTGCAGAAGGGCTTCACTGCTGGGCGGCGATTCGTGGGCCACATCCCGTTTCTGGACGCGGAGTGCCGCCGCGAGGGTCTCCTCTTTGGGGCTGCTCAGCGTCGACCGATGTTGCTCTCCTACGACTTCCGCCAGGCTTTCCCGTCCCTCTTCCGCGACGTGATCGACATGGTGCTGCCGCGGTGCGGCGTCCCGCTTGGCTTCCGCAACGTGGTCTCGGCGCTGTGCTGCAACTGCCTCGCCTTCAGCCCCTTCCGCGCTTCGGGCTCCAGCGCGGCGATGGAGCCGCTGTTCGCCTTGAGGTGTGGCACCATGTCGGGGTGCCCTCTCTCTGGCACGGTCTGGTGCTTGGGCATGGGCGCCCTGATCCGAGCGCTGATCGAGGCGCTGGGAGACCCTCCTGAGGGCTACCTCACGGCGTGTGCCCATGACCTGGGCATGCCCATCCGCAACGCCAGGGTCCTCCCGTCCACTGCCTCGCCCTTCGATGACATCGAATTCGCCTTCAAATTGCAGCTGGCGATCCCCAAGTGCGCGCTGGTCCCTCTCTGTGCCGAGGTCACCCCCAGCCTGACCAGCGAGGCCAAGGAATACCTGGCCGCGCTGGCCCCGCGCTGGAGTGGCTTCCGCATCGACTCCGCTGCCAAGTACTTGGGAACGCGCATTGGCCCAGGCATCTCGGAGCAGGGCATCTGGAAGGAAGCGGCGGCGAAGTGGTGGCCCCGTGCTGCGGGCCTGAGTCGCACGGGCATGGCGACCAGCCTTGCCGCCATCGCCTACAACGTGAATGTGCTCCCTTGCCTTTCCTACCTGGCCCAGTTCTTCTTCCTCATCCCCGAGATCTGGCGGGTCGAGTTCACGCTGCTCCACCGCCCCCTGCGGTTCCCGCCCTCGTCCATGCGCAAGGCGGACATTCTCTCCATGGGCGCGTGGTGCGGCTCCCCAGCACCGGTGGGCTTGCCCCCGTACTCAGTCGCCGCGCTCCCCCGTGCCGCGGCCCACGCTGTGCGTGGCTGGGTACCTACTCTGCGCGCTTTGCACGAGGCGGCGGTGGAGCACCTCCCACTGGTGCGTGCACTTCGGGGCGCGTGGTCGCCGACACCAAGCGCGCCATGGACCAGTTTCTCGCCCTTCCACATCCGCGTCCTGAGCTTGACAAGGTGCCCGCCCCAGTGCAGCCGTCCCTCGTCGAGGCGGCTCGCCGCGCTATGATCGCCGAGGAGCCGGCGGCCGCCCAAGCTGTTCCGCCCAGGAAGGTCAAGTGCCAGACTGCGGCGATGCGCACCCTGAGGGATGGCCTCTACGACGACCGCCTCGACCAGCTGATCGGCCGCCGCCTGGGGCGCTGGGGCCTGGAGGTGCCCGCCGAGGAGCTCCGCGTGCGCTGGCTGGAGCTCCGCGCTGAACTGCGCGTGGCTCGCCCTTCATGGGAATGGTCGTGGCTGCGCACCGTGGTCGACGGATGGATCACGTCGGGCAGGATGCACGTCATTGCCCCTCGCTCTTGCATCATGGGCTGCGACGCGAGGGACGACCTCTCGCGCTACATGGACTGCGTGGGGCTTCGCAGCGCTGTTGCTGCCCCTGCGGAGCCGAATGAGCTGGGCTGCGGAATTGTCTTCCCAGGGCTCGGTCGCTCGCCTGAGCATCGCGTGCGCCCACGCATGACCTGTGTGAGAGCGGTGGTATTCGCCGCGCAGCTCTTCCATATTCGGAAGTGGCGGGCTGACAGCAGCCTGCCCATCCATGATGCCGCGATTGCGGCCGCACGCATCGCAGCTTTACACCGTATTCAGGCCTAGAGTGGCATCGCACGCACCTGCTCTCCGAGCTTCGCGCCCTCCTCCTCCTCGTCTTCTTCCTCGTCCCCGTCGTCTTCCGCATCCCCCCATTGCCCTCTTCGCCTCCCTCGTCTTCCTCGCCCCCCTTCCTCGCCAGCGCTGCTTTGCTCTTTTTTGTTGCCCGCCCCCGCCCCGAGCCGCGATCTTGCTGGTGGGCTTGTGGGCGGTCCTTGGGGCGGGCGGGGGTCTGGGCCTTTCGTGGCCCTCTCCCCCCTTCTACAGGTGGTCGTCTAGCGCTTCGCGCGGCTTTTTCCTTTGCGGCGTCATGCCCGCCGTCTCTTTGGCGGGCTACTGGGCGCGCGCGCCCGAAGCGTCAGCCGCCCCTCCACCTCCTCCTCCCTGCCCTCCTCCCACGTAGCCATGTTGGCTCAAATTGTTCGTCTCCCCAGGGGCCTTCGGGAACTGCGTGGGCACCGCTGATCCGCGGCAAGAGCTTCCATGCACGTCAGCTCCTGGCGCGGCATCGACCTCCCGAATCTCTGGCAATTGGCGAGGTGAGTAAACTGAGGCATATCAGATTCCTGCCGAACCGAGTGTCGCCAAAACCTCAACGGCTGCGCCTGGCTGCGACAGACCATCGGGGAAGGCTCCCTCATCGCACGCGGCGGTCGGCGAGCAGCAGCAGCGACCAGAGGTGCCACCCGCAGCTTGAGCGGCGGAGGCAGCGGCGCGGTACGCACACGTCGTCGACGAGCATGTCGCGATGATGTGGACGGTGGCACTGGGTGCCGTGGATGCGATGCTTGCCCTCCTCGTCGTGGCGATCGCCGCCGCGATCGCCGTGCTGACCAGTCGCAGCGTCGACGGGATGGACGAAACGCAATCGCAGATCTGGAAGCTCAAGAAGAGTCACGTGTACGGAAACTGTGCAGCTGCATGCGTACAGTGGCAGGTCGCGATGCTCAAATGCGTGAGCTGGCGGCACGACCAGTGGGTAGCAAAGCGCCAATCCCTCTGTCTCGGCTCACAACAACAGACGGCATGCTGCACACGGTCGCCCCGATCTTGCAATGAAATGCGAGGGCGATGGCTCTGGACACGAAAAAGATGCGAGAGACTCTTCAACAATTGTGGCGCTTGGGGAGCACGAGCTTGTGGTTTAGCATGTTTTCCCGCCTTTGGGACTGCGCTGGTGAGATCAGTCTCTGAGCGTGGAGCTGCAGGGCCCTTGTTTCACCGTGGCGCTGATCGCGCAGTCAAGCGCGCAATTCTGGTGAGGAGACACGGTCCTGGGAATGCAAGAAGCGCATGGCTCGCTGTGCCGGTTGGAGGAGCTTATCAACGTAGTTGGCATTCAAGCAAATCTACGCGTTCTTCTCGTTTGCCCCATGTGAACATGGGTGTTGGTGGCGTCGTCAAACTCTTCCCAAGTACAACGGAATCGGGCATCCTCACATGGCAGGGCACAGTGACGGCGGCAGGTCGCGCGCTGTGCGTGCCCGCCACGTTCTACGAGGCATGTCGATCTCAGCAAGATCAACGCGCGCATGCTCACTGGAGCGTCCAAAGCCACAATCTATCGCAGGCGGGTGCCAAGAAGGTGCAGGACGACATTCCGAAGGACCAGCGCTGGGCGGCTGCCTGCCCGTGCGAGAGGGTAGCTGCGATCGCGGGCGACTTCGGCTGCGGGGGCCACCTCGGGCATCAGAACTTGGACCACCCAGAGCACGCGATCGCGACCACAGCAAACCCTCGGGCGCAGATGGGCACTGAGGGGGGCTTCGGAGCTCGCGGCCCCGACGGCGACCCACTGGCATTCTGAGCGAAGACACGCCCCTCGCATCGACGAGGTCTTCCTGGGGTGGCCGGCCTGGACGATCGGGCAGACCCGTCCAGCAGCTAAAGTTCACCGAGAGCCAAAAAGAACCTCCACCGCCAGAGCACCAGTCATCACGCCCCGACCAGGACCCTTGAGTCCGAAGCCACCGCGCAAGAGGGCGCGCGATTACCCCGCGCTGGCCCTAGGGTAACTCATCGCACAGAACTTCTACGAGCGGCGAGTATCAGAGCACGTCGAGCAGCGCGATCTGGAGGAGGCCTCTGCCCCGATCACGCGCTGCGCCGACGCGCGCGTCCTCCAGGCGGCTGCGAGAGAAGTTAGGGGCCTTCTCCTGAAGAGTATAACGTGGTCGACGAAGTCGGCGGCGCTGCTGCGCCGCGAGATGGCGCGCGCTTGGTAGAGAGGACGAGAAGATTGCTGAGGCGTTGCGCGCGCGAAACGCCTGGTTCAACGAGATGATCGCCGCGTCGCCGACGGGCAATGTCTCCTTGGAAGATGCGCCGGAGTTCAAGCGGAGGCGTTCGCCGACGCAGCGAAGGAGGGGCAATGCAGAACGTGAGTCTTTACAGTGTGAGTTTGCAGCTGGTTCGCCTTCTGCCGCGCAGCAGATTCGCGTCGTCTTCGCGGACAGATTGCCGCCGTGCGCCGCCGTTCCCCCGCCCTGGCGCCCTCGTCCGAGCGCTACTTGGCTGCCCTCGTCGCCAGCGGGGCGCGGGCGCAGGCGGCCCAGTAGGCGCGCGACATATTAGCCTCGAACAAGGGAAAAGGTATTCTGCACCCAGCCACGGCCTTCTTCCATGGCGCGGCCTCGCAACGACCGCGCAGATGCCGTCTTCGCGAAGATCTACTGAGGCCTCGCCCCGACGTCCGCGGCCAAGCGCATTGACGAGGCGCTGATGTTTGGCAGGCCAGCCGCGCCTGGCGCAGATGGGCTGCACGCAGCCGCGCGGAGGGCCCCCTGGGAAGGCATGGAGGCACCCGCGCCCGCAATGGAATCGATGGCAAATATAAGCCTGATGTCGCCAGTCGCCAACGACGGGGCGCGCGGGTGCGAAAATCGCAGATTCAGAGGGCGCGGGGGCTGTCGAACATCCAACGGAGAGAAGACCCCTTATGCCGAAGAACGCGGGAGCGAAAGCGATCGCGCGCGGGGTCAATTTGGGCGCCAGTGCCGCGGCGGCGGAGGCGGCCCCACCAACGCAGCGAGGGTTCATCGGGCAGCGCGACTTCTGGGATTTTCCCATCGAGCTGGAGGGGCTTGCGCGCCTTGCCTCCATGAGGGTGCACGCTGGCACTTCGCCGCGGAAGGGCCTCCCCCCATCCTCGGCCTCGACTTCGCCCAGGTCTTCCCTGGCGTTTTCCACGTCTGGATCGACTGGGCACTCCGGGAGTGGAAGCTGCCGCGCGGAGCGCGCTCGCGACTCGCGCTGCCGCGCAGTCGCGCGAAAGATTTGGACACACCTGCGCGCGCGCCGCTCTTTGCCATCGCGGCGGAGACCCTGTCGGGCGACCCGCCGTCGGGATCCGCGCTCGCGTTCGCGGCGCCCCCGTTTACGCCCGCGCGCGAGCATGAGCTGGAAGGGAGACAGCTTGGGGCGGCGCACTGGCGCGCGGACGACGCGGGAGCGATGGTGGTCAACGTGCAACGTGCACGGCGCGTTGGTCGCAGATTCCGCTTCTGCGGGTGTCTGGCTGGGCTTGCGCTGAAGGCGGCGACATTTTTCCGCGCCCGCGAGATCGCGAGTTTCTTGATGAGCACGCGACAGAGGTTAAGCAAGCGCTCGAGTACGAGTGCAAGGGGCGGGCGGCCCTCTCGGCGGCGCCAACGCTGGGGGCGCTGCATTGCGCGCTCGGACCTGCCGGGGGCGCTGAACGCCAGCGGCGCGGGCCCCGAGAAAAGTGCAGGTTTCGCGCGAGGAAGGCCGCGGCGAAGTGACTGCCGGAAGTTGATGGCAACAGCGCTGAATTAGGCCCAGCTGGTCGAGCTCTCTGGGACGCTGGCTAGAGGAGAAAAGTTCGCGCTGGCCCTTCTATTCCGTGTCTCTGGAAGTTTTTTAAAGTCATCAAAGCGATTGTCGGAATGCGAGCCAGGTCGGCTGGCCGGAGATCGCCCCCCCGAGTGCGCCGACGATCGCGTCGAGAAGGGCGGCGGCGGCCGCCGCGCCGACCTCGCGGCGCGCGGTGGCTGAGAAGCTGGGCAAGGTCGCCGCCGAGTGCCTCCTGCTCGCCAGGGTTGCCGCCTTCCCTTGCGCGAGGATGTGGGCGGCGCCCTCGATTGCGTGCACGCTGCGCCAGATGAGCCCCCCTGCTGTCGCCGCCCCCCACATCGAGCCGCCGGACGCTCCTGACCGCGGAGGCGCGGCTCGAGATCCAGGCGATATCGAGGGGCGGGCCGGTGGAGGGCAGGGGGTCGGAACGCAGTCTGCTGCGATGTTGTGTAATTCGTGGGTTTTCCTCGAGCATGGTCACTGATCTAATCGCGGCGAAGCTTCCAATTTGGTTCGTGGTCTCGAAGCCCGACGCCGACAGCATGGGCCGAGGCCCAGCGCGCGCCATCCTGGCCACTGCGCCGCCAGCCTGGAGGATCGCATGCGCCGAGACATGGCTTGGGGGATAGGCGACGGAGACCCGTCTCCCAAAATCGCACAGGGGTTGTGATTTGGGTCGCGATGTCCGCGGGGGCTTGAAACGCTATTTCAGTTGCGGCCCCCTTCGGGCCCTCAGCGAACGGGGCCCCCCACGGCTTGCCCCCCCCCCCCCCCCCTCCCGAGAGCATCTGTGTCGCGGTAATGATCTGCCAATGTCGCCGCCCCCTTCATGCCGAGCGAGGGAGCGGTCGGGACAGCGCGCCGCATGAGATTTGCATGTCGATCGCCACGCCGCGACGATGGCAACGGACACCCCCGCCAAGGAGGATCCCATTGATGCCTGGCCAGCGAAGGGCTGGGCAGTGATGTGGTCGACTGACAAGGTAGGGAACGCCGTGCCTCTTCGTCCTCGTCGTCCTCCTCTTCCACCATCCCCCTCCGTGGCCGCGTTGGCCCCGGGTGGTCTTGCGCCCGCGGTGCCCAGTGGGCGCCGCCTGGCCGCGGACAGCTCCCAATGTCTTGCAGAGGCCACCGCGGGCGAGCTGCCGCCCATTCATATCTTCCATGCTCAATCTGTTCTTCGCGCT